TGTTTTGTGTGGTTTAAGATGTTAGTTTTTCATTCCTTATCTCTCACAAAATTGTATTCCATAGTTTTGCCAGTTGTAGATTGGGTTGCTGAACATGGTTTCACATGTATGAAAACATTTTACCTTGCAGGTAAGGCAACAATGCATTTTGTCCTGGATATCTCTAAGCAGTGGTATTTAATGATCAGCCAGCCTTGTTCAAATGAAGTATCAATTACGTTAACAGCAGATACAAAATTCCAGAGGAAAAAAATAATATTTTAAACAAACAAATAACCTATGTGTGGGTGTGCCTCAGCCAACATTTATTATCCTTTATGGCTACTCAGGCAATTTAAAATATGCTGCTTCCTACCCCAGTGTGTCAGCTGGTTCTTCTGAATATCCCCTCTCTACAGAAAAATCACATATCGTTAATCTCACCATAGTTCTTCCATTTGTATATATTTTGCATGCCATTCCTGTGCAGATTTAAAAGCAGTTTTGGAGGTTGGCATTAGGAGGAATGAATTGAAGATTTCAACATTGTCCCTTAGCAAATCTTTAGCTGTTTATCAAACTATGGTATTTTTTCTTGAATAATTGTTTTCTCTCTAGTTGCAATCCATTTAACATAGCAGAACTGTAGTGTGACAGTTAAAATGTTATAATGATGCCTGTATATTATTTATTAATTGCAGTTTATTGCCTGCTAAAAGGAATATATGCTGAGATTTTGGAGTTCTTGTTGAGACTTTCTGTGGAGAATAGTATCTTAAATGTGTATTTTCTATATCATTATAAGAATCATACCAAGGACAAAGTGAATATTTTATTCTTATATTATTTCTAACTCTGTTTATTTGCACTATAAATACTCATCTCTCCTTCTCAGTGTCTAAAAATACTCTCTGTAACAAAAATTGGCAGGCATAATAAAAAAGTTGAAAATAAAAAAAGCTAAAAATGACCACAATCATTCCTATGGGAGACAGTTCTCCAAGCACCATAAGTTCTTCTAGTTCATAAAATGTACTTGAGGTAAAGCATCAAATTCCTGCATCTGTTGCTCTATCCAGTATCACTGCGGTACTGTAAGTCAGATGGACTGTAAGTCAGATGGACATCCAAAACTTCATGGATGAATCTAATGTCGGGCTGACTTCCAACCTGAGACTAGCAGTACAGTGTTGCACCCTCTTGTGAGGCTTTCTTTTGAAATAGATGCTGAGAACTTCATCTAATGATCAGTTGACTTTTTCATGTCTTCAAACCCTTTGCACCTAGCTGTCATGAATTTTGTTTCCTACCTCTTTGACCAGTACTACAAATATTAATTTTCCAGACCCATATATGTCAGTTCAGCCACAGTTTGTGAATTGGGTATATATTTAGGATGATGTAGAGATATATTCCTCAACAAAGAAAGGAGCAGTCAGTGATATCAGTTGAAGACTTGCTTAGACCACAGAGAAAGAATATGGCCTGGGATTTAATATATAACATATTTTATTTTTAGCATTTAAAATGGAAATGATTATTTATGTAAAATTACTAAAAATAATTAAGAGTTGTACCAAATTCTAGGAAATACTTTGGAAAGGTTGAAAAGAAAAATATTTTAAGGTTCAACACAGTGCATTAAAAATATACTGTCCTAAGAACTGTTACTGGATTTTTATTTTTTTTCTACACTCTTCCATTCTTTTTCTTCTCACTTAGAGACATCTTTTCTTCTTCCCCATACCAACATCTTGCTTTTACTTCCTGACACCAACACAAGTCAGAAGTAATGCTCACTTTCAACTTTTATATATTGGATTCAAGATCAACAGATCCAATAAATTAATGACTAGTATGGATCTCCTCTCTGACTTACAGCCTAAGGCCATCTTCAGACACAAAAAGAAAGGTTTTGCTTCTTAACTGGAAAGATTCTGTTAAAACCTAAAAGAGTAAAAAGATAAGTAATTCTGAAACTTCTAAGTAAATGGCAAAACTTTCAATTGACATCAGCAAAGGCCAGGTTCACCCTTCCTTTGTGAGGTTTCAACAAAATATGAAGAAAACAAACTACGGGAAAGAGGCCAGGTCTGCCTCCTTGCTTGCGTTTGTCACCCGTTCTCACATCTCAGTTGGAAAATTGCAACTATAGCTCCTATGCTTCCTTAGCCATAAAAATTCTGTAGTAGAAACACTGATTCAGCAGTGCTTTAACACTTGTGAGTGTGTCTTTCTCTCCCACTGATTTGAAATTTTTATAGGTTCCTCATTGTGACTTGGAATCTGAGCAGATGTACAGAAAGATGAACACATCATTGCTGAATTCTGAGGGATTTTTCACACCAGTGCATTCTAAGCTGCTTAACTAGTTGGCTTTTGATTCTTAAAAAAAAAAAGAAAAAAGAACATGAAGTGTAAGCATAGAAAGTCTGTCATATCTTTACTGATCTATCTATACTTTCAGCTCATAAAAACAGTTTTATATGTGCTTTCAAGGGAATTGTTGAAGTTCTACACCCAAGAGATAAGACAGTAGTGTAAGCTAAATAAAGCAGGGTGAAAGTCATTTCTGGACTAAGTATTCCGTGAACTCAGGAGAGTTACATCTGTTCTTATCACAAGGTTCAAACACCAAAGGAAATTATAATTACAGAACTGTAAATATACATAGTACTTTAGTCAAGTAAGTCAAGGTTACCTTCTCCAGTCAATTTTTAATGTATCGAGAGACCTAATTACAAAAGTCCCTGTTTCCCCTTCAGCTGACTGAAGGCAGCACAAAAATATCCACTTCCACTATTGATTCCTTGTCCTAATCTCCTTCACAGTCAACTCAACTTAGTGGAAGGAAGAATTCTGTGAAAGCTTTCAGATGTTTACAAGATAAAGTGTAGCACAAGATAAACGGAGAGACACTACATTTGTATATTTAGAATTGTCTCTATTTTTACATACTTTTATTTGCTTAATTTCAAGCAATGGTACTGCCCTCAGATTATTATCCATGATTGATTTTTTCGGTAGGCAGTGGTGGAGTTGCCACAAGAATTCTGAGGGCAATTAAGACAGACTGCACAGCTTTAGTATGACTGGTTAAGGGATCAGGAGCCCAAGCAGTGTTCTCCTCTATCCTTCCAGTGGCAGGAAATGATGAGGGAAGAAACAGGAAAAGCCAGCAGATCAATACCTTGCTCTGAGCCTGGTGTCACCAGCAGAATTTTGGCTTTTTGATCATGGTTCAGTTTACACAACAGACCTGCTGGCAACATACAGGGTATATTGCATATATATCTATTCTCCCTGTCTCAAGGGAGAATAGGATCTTTGCACAGGAGTTAGCAGGGTTCATTGAAAGAGATTTAAATCAGATTCGAATGGGGAAAAGGGATAAAACCAGGCTTGTTAGAGAAAAGCTTGGGAGGCTGCACACCAGTGTTTGAGGGACAATGTGATAGTGAGGTCCTTCAGCCTGCCATCTCAATGGAGGTAGGGGAGGGAGATTTATGCAGCAGCAAAGATGAAAGGTTTATTGATGTGTTAGAAACCATGGTCATGTACGAATTAGGACTTCTTCCCTCAAATTCTTCAGAAGGGATAGGCAAGGAAAGAGAGGCGGTGAGGTAGCACTGTATGTTAGGAAGTGTTTTGATTGTCTAGAGCTTAATGATGGTGACAACAGGTTTGAGTGTTTATGGGTAGGAATCAGGGGGACGAGCAACAAGGCAGGTGTCATGGAAGGAGTGTGTTATAGACCCCCAACCAGGATGAAGAGGCAGATTAAATATTCTATAAGCAGCTGGGGGAAGTCTAACAGTCATAGAATCATAGAATCAACTAGCTGTTTCTCAATGTTAATTGATTTTGAATAATTTACTGTCATACTATATATTGCTTATTATGACACATAAAATCTGAATTGAATAATGCAGAAATTACGTGATAATAATGGTAAACCTATCTTAATGAAGTAAAACTCAACTAAGACCTTTACTAACATTAGCATATATAATTAACTGTTTTGCAATGTAATTACTGGAGTTTTGTTGGCTTCTTTTTACTTGTTATTATACATGTTATTACACCTCTTCATAATATCACCTGTGAGGGGAATCACATTTACCAAAATCACGTAGTTCCAAGAATCTGCTTTCATTACTTTTCTGCTTGTTTTATGGAAAGCTGAAACACATTTCAATGTGCCTTGTGATTCATGGAATTTAAATTTACAAATGTTAGAATCTTAAAGTTCAGAGTAAATCTTGCTGGCTGTAATTGAGAAGTGCAGTAATCATAGCAATTGAATTAGGAGTGAATAGTGCCTAGGAAAAACTATATATTTGTTATAATGAGGCTATAAAACCAGAATGTAAAATCTATTTTCCTATAATATTTTCGATAAAACTATGAAGGGTATATTTTAAAGTGGTATAGACAAAAATGCCAAAACAGGAAAGCAATTTATAAAATATGTTTAATGTAGTGTCAAGTTTATAAACATGTTTGCAGAGATTTCCAGTGATTAACAGTGGTATATTCACTAATCTCTGCTATTTCAGGTCTATATTCTTTGTACATATCTGTCTGTAAGTGCATACTACTGTTTTAATCTGTCTGAAAAAATTTAACACTAAGGACCAAGATCTTGCATTAGACATACCTGGGAATCTCCCTTGAAGTCAATAAGAGTGAAAACATTTGAGTGCTGACCAAGTCTAAAGGCTCTTCCTTGAAATCCTCAAAGAAATTTAAGGTTAAAGTGATTTAACTCAATGAGGCTTCAGTAGTGTACAAAAATGTGATGATAGGCTTAACAACTATTTTTACTTAATCAGAAGCCCTGTAGTCAGCGTCTCACCCCTCATACTACAGGTGTTAGCCAGCTGTAAGCTTAAAACATGGGACTTAGTTGCCTCTTCTAGCAATAATAGGATAAATGTGAAAAACTAATCCCATGTGTCCTGAAGTACATGTCTTTGTACAGTTACTCTTGCAGGGGAAAAATTATTACACGGTTTTTACTTGATACCACAGCACTGTGACTGGGACAAATAACACGAATACAACTATTTCTACTTCTGTTTTCCACAACTGTACTTACTGCAGTTGTCATTCACATACACCCCCCTCATCACACCTGCAACCTATTTTATAATGATTTATCACTTAATCATTCATTTTTAAAATGGTTTAAGGCATGAGGTTTAATTTATCAGGTGTGTAAGATTCCTCTTCCTTTCTTCTTCTCTAAAGCAGGATTTGGTACTTCTTTGTGCAGTGATGTGAAGGTAAAAACCAAAGTATTGTTTTATGTATTTCCTTAGGCTCCCCTTTTACATCAAGACTTTATTTATTTATTTTAAAGGAGTAGAAACATAATCCTTTAAAATGTTCTATGGTGGAATACTCTCCTCTCTTTTCCTGTAGAAGCAAGCCAAATTGTGCATAATGATTAATTTCAGTTTTATTGATCTCAGAAGCACCTAAATGACTGTATTATAATTAATATTAAGTAAAGCATGTGAAGTAAGTGAAAAAGAGATATACAAGCTAAATATTATCTGAAAAATCAAACTCTTGTATATGTATATGCTCTGAACTTCTTGAGAGTTTTTGCTTGCTGAGTTTTTGAGTTTTATAGGTTGCAGGGAAAAAACAGTGTGGCAATACATGGGAATGAAGATACAACTTCTTTTCTTGAAGTTTCTCATAGGTTTCTTGCAAAAATAAGAAAAGAATGATTATTAGAAAAGTGTATAAAACAAAATCTTTAAAAGTTTTTATAGCATTTCATGAACTTTGTGCTGGTGTTCTTGCTTTCAATTTATCACCTAAACATATATTTTTTCTCATAGCCACCTGTTGAGAAAAAAGATCACAGTAGTTCACATAACCAGCTTATAAGTGTGTTTTATCTTTCCAGACTATCAACACCTCACTGTATTGTTCAGCATTTCAAACATAAATTTAGTCTTCCTCTGCTCTTCTGTTACATTTCTTCTCACACATTCACACTCACTTGCTCCCTCAAGCTTTCAGTTTGCTAGGATTCAGAAGCTTCTTACCTAAGTTTAGGCATTTAACTAGCAGACCATAATTTTCCTGAGGAAATATGGGGCTATGCCAGGCTCTTTCCACTGCTTAGAAAGGGTAACTCAAGGCTTCTTAATGTATTTGTCTGAAAGAAGAACCTAAAACTAAGCAGTAGTCCAGATTCACTTGGCCCCATTTTTTTGTGTTTCTAGTTCCTGTTTTATATTTTTTTGCTTTATCACTGAGTTATGTAGAAAATGTACTAGATAGTACTAATGTTTGTGAACAACTGGATTCACATATGAACACATATGTTCACATATGAACAAATACTTTATCTATATGCAAAAGTTGCTGCAGCATGGTTCATACCTGCATTATTTGTGACTGTGACACTGGAGCAGAATGGCTCTGCTCCACACAGCACCATCTGTAGGTTCCCTTAAAGCCCCATCTGATACTCCTGTATGAGGCATTAGTACCAGTTATGAGCATTTTGAACTGTTGTGAAGACTGTTTTGTAAACCATCAAAGCAATGCTTTTATAGCTTGAAGCAGAGGATGCATGTTATGCTTCAGGTCGGCCATGCATGAACATCAAAGTTTTTTTAGACTGACAGCATTAGCCTACTGGGACAGTGCTGATTGATAGAGAGCAGCACAGGGTGAAAGGATCAAAAACTGCTCTGGTTAAGTCCATACTGAATTTTAGGAAGGGTTTCTGACATGAACAGCCCTGTGAACTGTGCTGAGGATGAATCTTAGCGAGAACTGGTTAAAATGCTGCAAAGGTTTCTGCAGTTGTGGTGGCTAGTGCTCCAGTTTGCTTCCTAGTCTCACTTATTTATCAATATAGATAGAGTCTGTGTTTATTTCTTCTTATCTATGTATTCCTATAGCGCTACGGAACAGTTGCATCACTGTTGTTAAGGCTGATCCAATCTCGAGCATTTAACTGACTTTCTTCTATGTTCTACACAAAGATATATCTATATCTAATCTAATCTATATCTATAGCTATGTTATAGATGTATAGATGTTTGTGTATATATCTCTTTATAGCTATATCTATAGAGAAAGTCGTACATACACAAACAAACCCAGATAAAACTGTGTTTTCTCTGCTTTTGGATATCTTTCTATGAACTGAAAAAAATAACCTTTTACTTAGTGTTTAGAATTGTATCAGTATTTTTTTACTGTAGCTAGGGGTTTCTTTTCTTTAACATTCCTCCCACCAGCTTCAGAAATTTTTGAATTTTCCTAAGCTTCAAATATCTGTTTGTACTGTTTCATGATTTCATTCACCAGATTTAAAACAAAACATAAAGCAGATATTTTACAAACTATAAAACTGCAGTGCTGGGTTTATCTTAGTGAAAAGACCCTTTGTGCTCTAACAATTTTTCCTTCATAAGCAATGTCCTTACTGCACAGTGGGTGCCAAAAGCATCACTTGCTTCTTAATCTCTTTAGTAGGCCCTAAATTTTAGTTGTGATTTATAGTTTCTCAGTAACTAGTTTCTAGTTTCATACTCAGCAATATCACAGTCCTCAAGTTGCTGACCTGTTCAGCAAGCAGTTTAGTGGGAAAATTGTGGTACCTGGCTGTTTTCCAAGTGTGCCCAGACCTCCATTACTCTGGAACTCCAGTGTTCAATTATTTCAAACTAAAGCAACTTCTCTAGAAAACTGAAATGATAATTTAAGAAAATAAAATAAAATAATGAGCAAGTGAATTCATAAAAAAGAAAAGCAAAACAACAAAACCTAATTTGCTCTTAGTACATTGATCAGTATTTGGGGTACTGTCTAACAGGTCATCAATATGGTGTTTATGCCTTCTATGTATTGTGTCAGCCATGTCAAAGCTGGCTTCAAGAAAAATGCAACGTGAATTTATTTTTTTTTATAGCTAACTGTGTCTTTCAAGATTTTGACTTTTTTTTGTATAGGAATGTAATTTAGAAATAGAACTATGATTTTCAAATAGTAGGTTACATCTACATTACATGAAGAACAAAAACTAGGAAAAAAAAGGCTTTTCTTTAAGTACCTCTTTTTGATATTATTATTACTTTTTTTTTTTTTTATTACTGTCACTTCATCTGGGGCTATAATTGAAATCTAAAATTGATGGGGTGGATGTGCTCAGCTTAGACTCATTTTTCTTGAAAGAGAAATTACTTATGTAAAAGTACCTGTTCTTTACTGATTATCTTATTATTACTTCAATTTTTTAACATCTTTACCTAGCTGGCTTCAGGAAAACTGTTGTGCAGTGTATTAACACTGCACATGATTTTGTAGAAGATGTTAATACCGAGATGTCTGAGACAGATTTGTCCAAAATGTCAAGGAATCTCAGGCTCCTTTTTAATGCCAAAAATGTTAGGTAGATTCAGTGTTCGGTGCTGGCTTCTTCTGTGGTAGATCTTCACTGCTGCAAAAGATCTGTAATGAGTTTCATTTGAAGCATAGGTGTCCACCTGTAGTCACTCTCTGTATTGTCAGTGGAGATAAATAGGCACTTTTAAGGAACAATTCATGTGACTTGGTTTAGATATCCCTTTCAGTACAAGACGAATCACATCCAGGAATTTTCTGTTTCTCTGAAATGACTATAAAGGTGCCTAACTTGTCTTTAGATGTAGATACCTCTGTAATACAGTTATGTGAAGTTATTTGGTAGAAATACTACCCCTTCAGTCTGCTAAAACCTCAAATTTATTGATAAAAAAGTATTTTTAATGTGGGAAACAACACTGGTAAGAATTTAACATTCAAATAGCATTAAAAATCCCAGCAGAGAAACTGAAAGTGCCAAAGTTTGAACCTTATTTTAAAGATTTGTACATGTATTTTACTTATTTGATAGTAATCAACACATGATTAATATTTACTGCAAACAGTTGCAGCAACCTCATGGAAACTATATTTTTACTACCAAATCTAGAAATCTTAGTCACCTCGTATCAGAAAATTTTAAAGTTTTCCTTTTGGGAGTCTTTGCCCCTCAAAAGCCACAGTAGCTTTGTACAGACATTGCCTGCTTCTTGTGCTCTAGTTTACTCTTTATAACAGTACACCATCTTTCTAATAGGTAAATGAACTGTGTGAGTCTTGCCATTGAGGTGAATGCTCATCTTCTGCTTTCTTCTTGCTAGCCTCTCAATCTATTTGTTTGTTTGTTAACCCTTTTAATTAATCAGTTTCTCTCCATTACACAAAAGTACATACAGTCAAAGAATATTCACGTCAAGCCATGTATATAATTTAGGGGTCTTCTGTGAATGCTCACCCCAGGAATCAGAGACCACCAGAGCTGATAGGATTCGTAAGACTTGAAAGCTGGTGCATGAACAACCCTTTTATATTATAAAAAAGCAAAGCAAAACAAAACAAAACAAAAGCTACTTAAGAATCCATTCTTTTCAACTTTATTTGTCTGTAACTGTATTTGTTAGCTGACACTATGCTTGAAAGCATTTTTTAATGGGAGGATGGGGTTGATTCGTTGGGTGGGTGTTTTGGTCTTTGTTTTTTTTTTTTTCCCAAAGCATAAGAAAACATTGCTTACTGTCTGGCAAAATAATAATTTGAAATGTTTGCATGCAAACTGCAGCAAATGGTCAAGAGGTTCAGATAAGTAAATTTCTGTTCTGATAGCTGATAAAGGCAAACACTTTCAGCTTCTGTTTTACTTCTAAGAATCAGTGTGAATTTTGTTAGAAATTCAGTTGAAACTGCATGCAATGAGTAAAGCTAAATCTTTCATATAAGAGATCAGCTATGACTGTAGGAAGCTTATTTGATTATTTTGGAACCAGAAACAATGAAAATAAGCAGTTCTTTCTATAAAATCAATAAGTTAAAATCAAATGGATAAGGCTGTGATGTGTGGCAAAGTTCTGAATTATGTTTTCCCTAGATTGGGATTACATGTGAGGCAGCATCAGATTTCTCCGTGGCTGTTTGCGTTAGATGAAAACTGCTTGAGGGCATTGCAGTGGAATCGCCTTCCATTGCTTACACAGTTACATAATGTACTTGGAATGGAAAAAGAATGCTTCTCCATTAGGCAATCCAAAAAAGCTGTGTCCCTTACTGAACCCAGTGTTTAATATGCAGGGGAGAGCATTGAGAGGGGGAACAAAGAGGAACAGTTAGCTATAGCAGTGCTTTTACACAGCTTCATAGTGGTTTGGGTGTTTGTTGCTTTGTTGGGTTTTCTTCTTTCCCTGTGCTGTGCCTGAGCATACTAATTGCTTCTTTTCCTCTTCCTTGATAGTTCTGCAAGTGCTTCAAACACTGTACTGTGCATAATGCCTTATACTAGAGGTGAAAGTGTGAGGGTTGTCTGGTAATATGACACTGCTTAGCAGAAAGGTCTTACCCTCTAGTATTCTTTACACATGGTCTTTTCAGTTATAGCAGTACTGTGTATTTCATTTTTCACTTGAATCGATAGTCGGTTTCCAAGGGACATTTTTTCCTTTTGTTATTTTGTTGGGTGGTCCCTTTTTTTTTTCTAACTAGTGTAAATTTCATGAATTGTGGTCAAAAATATTTCCTTGGAAGCCTTGGCTTAAATTTCTTTGAATGAGGAGCCTAGGCAGTGTTCTGTAAGAATGCCTTTATGAAAGGTCTATTGCTGAAATTTCTGAACAGTGGAGAACATATTCGTGCAATACAGAGATATAAAGTTGCTGTAAAAATGATACTATGACACTATGTGTTTCCTCTTTCTCAGACAGACTCAATTATCTGTCAGAAAAATAAATAAATAAATAAATAAATAAATGAATCTTTCCCAAATGCCATATCAACAAAATCAGCCCAAAAATGAACAGCCAAGCTAACGTGTTTTCTGATCATACTCATTTGTGCTTATAACCTAATTACAACCTTTGTTGCTGTTTGAATTTGAAAAAAAAATTGTGTTCATTTCCTTGTATTTGATGACTGAGAGTGGCACACACTTTTCTACAGAAAAAAGGCTGTGGGAAATAGAAACATTAATGACTACTAATTAATAGCAGTCCTTAATAAGATCCAGGTTTACCCTTGTCATTGGTTTGACCTTTTATTCGCTTAAAGTTGATGTCCCTGGTGTGCCTTGTAAAAGAATCTTAATTCATAAGACATACAAAACCTGATGAGTATTAGGTATTGAAGAAGACCAAGCATTTTCACTTCTTATTCTGATCTATTAGCTGTCGGTGATATGCAGGTGTCTTGAATAGATACAGGTACATTCTTATAATAGTAGTTATAAAGAATGCCTATAAATGGTCTGCCTATAAATCACTTGCTGTACCATGGCTACATCAAAATGGCATGATCTTGAGGACACAAAACCATGAAGGCTTTGAAAACAAATGCAAATACGTACTTTTCAAAGCTAGTTTGTACTTAGTTTCTCCTGATTTGTTTCATTGATAGGATATTAACGTTGGTAAGTCTGAGATACATTGTCTTTCTCTTTGTTCTAAGTTTTGGTGTTCTAATGCTTTAAGTCCATTTTGTATAGAATCATAGACTGGTTAGGGTTGGAAAGGACCTTAAGGTCATCAAACATAATATGCATTTAAGGTGCTATGAATGAAGCATTTTAGCATAGGTGATCTTAACAGTACGGTTTTGACAGCATGTCATCATTAATAGGAACTCTAGTTTATAACAACATGAATAGTGACATCTGTGCACCATCCATTAAGAAGATTTAATAAATCAAGAAATTAGGTCAATCAACAACAATATTGCAAATAATTGTAACTTTCAAGTACTTAAATTAGGAGAATGAATATTAATGGTTAAATCAAATTACACTGGCATATACAATTTATCAGTACAAAGCACAGCAGAAAAATCTGCATTCGTTTATAAGATTCAAAATACTGGATTTTTAATTTTTTTTTAGCCTCAAAAGAAAGTTTTTGGCATACTTAGTATGAAGTAGCTGGACTGCTGAGTAGCTATTATAACTTTATTTGCCCTGAATTTTCAGTTCATGACTTTGCTTTTCAGGGCTAAAATTGCTCCTCTGATGGCACAGTTTTCCCATACGTAGTAAGCAAGAATGCGATTAATTTACTGTGTATGTCTGCTTCTAAACAGCTGAACAGCTGCTAATCTGGTATTAGAAATAGGGTGTCACAGACAACATCCTTTAATTGGTTTCTAGTTTTGCAGTATGTTAGCTCTCTGTTTTTATTTTCACCTAGCCGTCCTTGTGGCTACCTTTTCTTCCCCTTTGCTTAAAACATTTAGACTTATAACATGGCTTGTTTTGGCAACAGCTGGCATGTGTAACCAAATACTATCAACAGATGTGTAATCATATTTATGCTTTCTTTTATGTAGAAATATTTCTGTGTTAAAATTATACGAAGGCTATTTACTGGTTTTATATCAACATGATAATAATTGATTCATAAAACATATTCATATTTGTTAACACTGTGTTTGTATGCCAAAATATATCCCTCTGTACATCCACCTGGCTTTAATTAGCAATAGGTAAATTCTGTAGTTTTAATACAAAAGAAATAAATATGGCAGCTGTGTACTGCATAGTAGTACTGTATCCGTGTGCATTTCCCCACAGATTTCATGCACAGGGCTATACTCAATGTAAGAAATTTTATCTTTACTGACATTGAGTTTTATTAGCATAGTGCTAATATTTTTGATTGAGCTATACATTTATATATAGAGAAATTCTTAGACATATATATGTATGAATTAGCCAAAGATCATTCTTAGTAGCTATATTTATAGATATATGTGTATAGATACACATGCCTACACACACATACGCACTAAGCAACGTATATGTACAGTAATTCTAAGAATAATCTTCATACCCTAGAAACAAATTTTTTTTGTTATTTTGAAAAGCCTCCATTGTTAAAAAAAGTGAACATACCAACAGGAAGTAAAAAGAATACATTAAACAAGCAAAGGAGTTAGAATTGAGCCAGAGGGAGATGAGGTGAGCTGCCAGTGATTACAGAAGTAAAAGGAAAGTAAAAAAAAAAAAAAAAAAAGTAAAAGAAAGAAGTTAAAAAAAAAAAAAGTAAAAGAAGTAGAAGGAAAGTGATGATTTGTCTGAACTAGACCTTTATCTGGCCAGCTGGTAACAGCCAGCACCAGCTGCAGTGGGATGCATGACTGGGTCATCCAGCAACTCTGCCTCAGGTCACAGGAGAACGTGGACCCACTTGAAAAGTCAGAGCACAAAAAGCTACACCAAGCAGAAGCAAAGAAGGGTCTTGAAATAAAGTTATACAATAAGAAATAAGAAATAAAGTTATATCTCACATTTTCTGTAGTAATAGGCTGGGTT